AATATTTCGGATGACTGAGTTCAGGAGATCAGAATAGGTTTTCTAGTGTGTTCCCAAAAAACCATGTAACTTTTTAGATCTTTTTAAAACATATATATATATATACCCTCATCCGTCACGAACAAAATGTGTAGGTTCCCCAGAACCATACAACCCCGTCACTAACAGTAAGGCCCTGAGCACACAGCCGAGGAACCGGTAAGTAAGGCCCTGAGCACACAGCCGATGAACCTCCAAGTAATCTTCCTCCAACAATACCCCCCCAATAAAACATGTTCCGTCCGTAAACGGATATATCAAAAATCAAAACATAATTCAAGTCAAGTATCATATCAGAATCCAGGTCATGTATCAGATCAGAATCCATGTCAATATCAGATCAGAATCCAGGTCATGATCATAACAGAATTCAAGTCAGAAATCAGATAAAATATTTATATGATTAGGGAACACACCAGAGTTTACAGATATTATTCAGAGGTATTGGATAATCTTAACAGGTAGAGAAACATGAATATTCAGTATACCGATAGGATATCGGAATTTAGAATCACTATTTGAAAGAGTTCATTAACTGACAGAATCATCAGTTATTCAGAATGTGAATTATCAGGATATTATCTTATTCGGACAGTTTTCAGAAGCTGTACGTAATCAGAAGGGTATTCAGAATCCTTTACATCCATGTCGATTGATCGGATAATCGAACAACTTGAGAACGAAGATTCAGAACCTTAACAATCTATGTCGACTGGTCAATTCATTTTCCTTCTAGGGTATTTACTCTTTAATACCACAAATTCTTGTCCGTAGACCATTTTCGGAATTATCGCTGAATAAATCTTCCAATGACTTTATTTCATTTCCACGCTTCCACAATATCATGAAATGTTGACGTACTTGATTAATTTGTTCATAACCCATTGTAATTGTACACTACGTAAACTCATCAGAGTTTCCAGACTTATCCAAATCACTTACTAAATCCTCAGTCATTGAGGTTACCTATTTCATTTAGCTGTCATCTCCATTCTAGTTACTTCAGAATTTTCCAGAGTAATTCAAATGTTCCTGAATTTCAGATACATGTTGTACTTCCATCCCATTCAATTTGGTCTTCGTGGTTGATTGTTGAACAAACGTCCAATTCTTAGTACTGAATACGATCTAGATCTGAGCTGAACTGAATACTTCCAAGATTCGTCATCGAGCCAAACTTGAGAAGGCGAACATATGTTCCAGTAATATCTATGCCATTCAGGTATTGACATAGCTTTAGGGTTGATCTACTCACTTAAATTATTTTCCATTACCTTTAAAGGTAGTCCAATACCTATGCTTACTTGGATTCCTTAATTAATCCAAGACATTTACTTAATTTAGGCCATAAGGGTATTTTGGTAATTTTGATGTTCAGTTTTATTCCATTCATTTCAGAACTCGAGGATATTCAATCATTCCTGAGCTTGGTGATATTCTTGGGTCATTTCCATTACAGGGGTATTTTGGTCATTTTACAGATCTACGATATTTCAATCTTTTCCTTCCATCCGATCTTATTATTTAATTCAATCTTATCATTTACTTCAGTCCTTTCGAACAATTCTGACAGCAGAATACCCCCGATAAATTACTCTTCCAGTATTTACTCATTATTCGAATATTTTCAGGTCAAGTGTCTTCTCAGACTTTACAAACGGAATATCATAAATTTTCCTGCACTAAGTCGGGATCTTAACAATTAAATCCGTACTTAATCGAGTTAAGTATGAATCCTCTAAGTATTTTCTCATTCAGAGTCATCTCAGACTATTCTACCTCTTAAGGCATTTCCGTAATTTCTTAACCAGATAAGTTCGATATTAGCTCTTAACGAAAATAATATAATTTAGAGATCCTATGATTAATTGTTTTCTTGAACAATCTCTGATCTTGAAATAATTCCCTTAACACACTTCTAGTATCTTGCATAAACCTTCTTGGGGTTAAAAACCGGTTCTCCATAATTTCCAAGTAAAACTAACATTTCTTATGCACATCAATAGTTTTAGCAGATCAATAATTCTTTTCAGATTTATTAATCCACTTCCAGAGACAATTCTTATCATTTTCCAACATAAGGGTAATTTCATAATTTTCCCTAATCGAAATATTCTCTTAATTTATCATCTAAGTACCTTTAATGAGATAAATTATAATCTACAATCCATGGTTAATTCTTTTATTACTTAATTCCAGAACTTGTAATTTAATTCAAACCGTCCTCCAATTTCTTATAATAGTCATCTGAGCCATATTCAGTTATCTACTTTCTACCGTATTCGTACCTAGTGTAGATCTTCATTAATTACACATATGAGACCAAACATTTCCATTCATGCATTTATCAATACCAACATGTTCCATAAAGCATAAAGAGGTAGTAAAGTATTACCTCAATTTCCGTGCACTATTGATCGACCATAAAAATTCCATTCGAACGTCTTTGATCTTCAATTCAAATTCCAATAATTCCTCAGATACATATAAACATAAATTATATCAGAAACGGAGCTTAATTACGATAAACGGATCGAATCGGGTGATAAATTAGTGAAAGATGGCTTACCGGGTTCGAATTTGGAGAAACTGACTTCGGATTCGGATTCAGGACGTCGAAAGCATAAAATATGACTTTTCGGAAATTTGGAATTTTCGGTCAAAATCAAAGTCAACGGGTTTGACCATCAATTTCGAGACCTTCGGGTTCGAATTTCAAAAAACGGACAACGGAATCGGATTTGGAACGTCGAAAAATGTCAGGATAGGTATACTCGGTTGAAGTCAAAGGTCGTTTAATGCACGATCAAAGCCGGTCAAAGTTTTGGTCAACAGTGGTCAACGGGTCAACGGTCAACGGGTCAACAGGTCAACGGGTCGGTCAGGTCAACGGGTCGGGTCAACGGGTAGGGTCGGGTTGTGATCGGCCAAACCGGTCAAAACAGTTCCAAAACCGGTCAAACTGGTCACCTTTTCCTTCCCCACGCGCAGTGGCGGCGTGTGGGGGCGCTTGAACAGTGCTAAAATCCCAGAAAAATTTCTAAAAATTATTTTGAGCGATTTTGAGATACTTACAAAGCTCGGTTCACAATTTTGAACGGCGGAGAGCTCGATTTCAACGAATCGGAAACTTTGACCGCTTCACCTCCTCACGCGCCGCCGTGGACGGAGACCAAGGATGACACCGGAAAACTCGGAACGATGCAACGAACACGATGGTGCAGGAGGTGTCGTAAACGGATGACCCGATCGTCGTGAATCGATGAAAAACCAACTAAAACCGAGTTATTACCGACGATAATTCCGACTGAAATTCACGACGAACGGTGATGATTCACGACGAAAGGTTTGAGGGGTTTTGTTCCTCGGTTGACAACGAACACGATGGTGGTTTTGGCTCTTCGTTTGGAGGTCGGACGGCGAGTAGATCGGAGTTCGAAGTAGGGAGAACGGGAGAGGAAAACTGGAAAATTTTCCAGAAACATACGGGAGTCTGGGGTTTATAACATCTCATAATTAAAAATGGCTAAACCAAGAGTTTAGCCACTGAACTTCCTGCACTTCTTAAAACGGTCTTTCATCTTTGAAATCTTACAATTTAATCCCCAAATTTCTTCCAAATACCAATTAAATTCACCATTTTATAATTTCTTAAATTTAGCCCCTAAATTGGGGTGTTACACTTAGAGATTGAAATCTACAGCTGAGTGAAACATTGATTGTTGTTTATTACATAACTGAAAGCAAATTGGAAATCTGCTACATTTTAACTTTGAACAGATAGATGAGAATGTGTCTAGAGAATTATAAATCACAGATCCTAATATAATTCAGTTCAAAGAGGTATTAATTTTTCATTCTCTTATTACTATTGTTTTTTTATCTTTATATTATTATAATTGAATGAACTATTTCTTTTTCAATTTTGCAGGTGATTTTGACTCCCACACATCTCGCAATTTTGATGGAGCATGCAGCTGATGGTGAACTCTTTGAGCGGATTTGCAACGCCGGACGATTCAGCGAGGATGAGGTTAGTTTTAGTTTTTGAAACTTTTTACCAAAAACAGGAAACTAGATATGTTTATTTTATTTTGAGTTCACCGTGTAGTCAGCAGCAGGACTATGTTCCCTTTACCCTCTGAATTGATACAGAAGCCTGTGTGAGATCAAATGCCTCAATATTGAACACTCCTGCAGTATATTTCTTGGCTAGAGATTGATTGCTAACTGTTTTTAAACTTTATACTAATGAAGCTTTTTTCTAATATTTTGTGTCTGTGGGCTAGATATTTGTTTACAGCAGTTGATCTCAGGAGTTAGCTACTGTCACTCCATGGTAACAAAGTTTTGACTTTTCTCTTTATTGCATAATGTTAAAACTGCCTGCTTTTGTATGCTTCTAATATTTTACATCATTTTCATTTCCAGCAAATATGCCATCGATGTTAGAGAATACCCTGTTGGATGGAAGCCCTGCTCCTCGTCTCAAAATCTGTGATTTTGGTTATTCTAAGGTGTAACCGAATGGGTCATTCATTATATGCTGTTCTAAAGATGAGCTTGTGTTACTCGATATATAAAAATGGTTGTCCTTGTTCCAATATGTAATGGGGTAAGGGGGAGGTAAGATGGTAGGTTACCCCAACACTAAGTTGAGAACAATTTCCGTAAGAGGCCTCCAAATTATAAAATGCCCTCCATGATACTTGATCCCACAACCTCAAGGTTAAGAACCTTGTGTTCTACCAACTGAGCTAGATGGTCATTCTTTTACTCGGTATATATTATTAGTAATTATATGCTTGATAAAAGATCAATCACTTGCTAGAAATCCACAAATAGTGCATTATTACAGCTAGTGCAGCTTTATGGAGTGGATTGTTTTGTCACTGCAAAGACAAACTTCAGCCTAAGTTTTAGTGAGTCTTTCCTAAATTTAGGATTTAATTTCTTTTCAGATGGCAGATGTGCGGTCGTGTGGAGTGACTCTTTACGTTATGTTGGTTGGTGCATACCCATTCGAGGACCAAGAGGATCCTAAGAATTTTAGGAAAACTATTAATGTAAGTTACATCATCCTGACGAGCTCTTTTACTTTTGACTTCCTTGATCATTTTGACAATTTTATGATTTCATAAATTTTTCTTTTTTTCTTTTTTTAATCTGCTGCGGAAGATAATGCCAGTTCAATACAAAATCCCAGACTATGTTCACATATCTCAAGATTGCAAACACCTCCTTTCTCGTATATTTGTTGCTAGCCCCTCCAGAGGGTATATCCTTCTATTAATGTTATTGCTCAAGGCTTTCTCCTCATTATTTCTGTTTCTTGGATGGAGGTTTATTCACATGGTATGAGCCTTGATGTATGTGTGCGCGCACGTGTTCGGGTTTGCATGTGTATATTTTCCCGTTGTTTTACTTGTGCTAAAGCAGAATCTTGTAACCTGTCTGCTAAAGAAATGTATCTTGGTAAATGAGAAATCATGAGGCGGAGGTTTATACTTTTCTGCAATTGAAATGGAGGGAGATGTGAAACATGAGAGCCATCATCTTTAAATTGCCTTTCTAAGGGTTGCTGTTCATAATTACCTTTCATCCGTTTATATTTTTCGATTAGACCTTTCATCCATTTATAATCGTTGATAATGACATTGTTTTCGGTTTCCTCTTTCTTCCATGGGCACTCACCGTTTCAACTCCTGTTTTGACAGAGGATCACCATGAAAGATATCAAGAGCCATCCATGGTTTTTGAAGAACTTGCCCACGGAACTGACGGAGGTAGCTCAAGCTGCCTACTACAAGGAAAGAAATCCCTACTTTCTTCCTCCAAAGTATCGATGAAATCATGAAAGTAGTCGAAGAGGCCAAAGTTGCTCCTTGGGCATTGCGGTCTATTGGAGGGTTTGGCTGGGGCGGAGAAGAAGGCGGGGATACAAGGGAAGAAGATGCAGACGAAGAAGATGAGTATGAGAAGACAGTAAAAGAGGTACATGCCAGTGGAGAAGTTCATGTCTCATAAAAGATTAAAAAAAAAAAATTAATACATGCTTTCCAAATGGCTGAGTTTTGCTGGCATTTAGAGCTTATATTTGTTTATATATAAATATGATGTCAGTTTTTACCTATAGGACTTGGATTTTGAATAAACAATCTGTAAGTTAGTGTGTTTTGAACAATAAGTTTGTGAAGTCAGTACGATGTTTAGGGTGAACTGTAACGGGATAGGGGAGTGTTTGATCGAGTCGAGTAAAAGAATTTCGAGTTATTAGAGTTGGTGAGTTGTATCTTATAACTCGAAGTTGACTTGAAACTTTTTCGAGGCGAGTTGAGTTTATAAAATTCGAATCGAGTCGAGTTGAATTTTTGTTTAAATTTAATTATAAATATTTATTATATTATTCAATTCCAATTTAAATGGTTTTTTATAACCATATACAATACAGGTGTATTTCTTCATTCTTTTCATATGTAATATACATTTATGATACAAAAATCGAAGGACTCAACTTAAACTTAAAAATCAATCTACTAATTACTAAAAATTTCGAGTTATTTGAGTTACTATTCGAGTAGTATTTTACAACTCGGTTTGAACATAAAATTTTTTCGAGTTGGGCTGAGTTTATGAAATTAAAACTCGAAGTTAATTTGAGTCGAGTTTTCTCGAGTCGAATTGAATCGAAAAAATCGATTTTTTGAGTTGAATCGAATTTTACTCAACCCAGATATACGTAGTTGGAAACTAAAGCGTACCGAGTACGTAAATTCAGTGGGTTATAAACGGTCTACACTTTTCAGAGTAAAAAAATATTTCCAAATGAATTGAATAAAAAAAAAGCTTATTACTAGGTATTATATCATTCCTGTTATTCTCGACTAAAATATTTTAATATTCTTAAAATAATGTGTTTTGTTCGTGTTGATCCTTCTTTTACTTTTCAATTTTTTTGTTCATAATTTTTTAAAACAAAATAATAATATTTACTTGAGGGATGATTTCATCGAGAATTTATTTGAAATGTTTAGGTAAAAGAGTTCCAATTACATTCGCTTTTGGCCAGAGGGTTAATTTTTGATAGCGATGAGTTTAGATAGCATTATGAGAAGTCAACTAACAATTTATTTCTTTACTGCGCAGTAATTATTTGAACATTAGCATTGTTTGCCGTTGATGTTTGGGCTAGTGATGAAGGATTATGTTCGAGTTTACTCATGGTTGTAGGGCATATGCGAGCGTCTTTTTTCTTTAATTTTTAATATAATTTTAAATGAATTAGTAGCATTCTAAAATGAATATCATATATATTATTATGCATCATTAATTTCATAGGGTAAAATTTATAAGCAATCACTAAATTATGTTAAAATGATCTTTCTAGATATTAAATTTTTAAAAGTTATATAATAACACTAGATTTTAAATTTAGTTACAAATTTACAATCCCTAGAAATAATATAAAAAAGATTATGTCTAATTTATTTAAATAACAATTAATGATATTTGAAAGATTTTTAATTAAATTAAAGAATTCCGATACTGTTATACGAAATAATGTTTTATGTAAGAAACAAGTCCTACAGCCAACACCCAATGCAAGGCCTTCGCCCATAACAAAAAGTCTCCTGCAGTTGTGAACAAGTGAGGCATTAGAACAAACACCATAGGTAGGTATAGTGCACCTAAGCCAACATTCAACGTAGTTTGGTATCACCCCAAGTTTGTTTATAAAGAATCTCATTGTCTCTCAGAGATAAAAGCATCCGAAATCAAATCTATCATTTGATTTGATATCTCACGCTATGGCTCAACATTTTTCCACCATCCTACTGGCAGGTTCACTAATGGCAGAATGGTTGCTGGTTTCATTTGTGAGCTTAGATTCCTACTTAGTTTAGTTGATTTCTCTACTTTATTTGTTTTGAAATAAAACTGTTTAATTATTTGGATCGATCGAAATGGAATGCATGCAGCACAACTTATTGGAACGCGAAGGAGCAACAACCGTATGCAGGAGGCACGGAGTGCAGTGATGAATGGCAGTAGAAAAGGTTACCCAAATGGACACAACTTTGCTAGTGCCTGTTGTGGAGATGGATTGCTTGGGGTAGAGATGGATACATTATTTTATCATTTTATGTTAAAGCAGATAAACTTTTAGAATTTTAGTGGAGAATAAATCTATAGAATCTTAGTAGGTGAAAAATGAATTATCAATAAAAAATTTTAAAATATATGGTAATTTGAAATTTTCAGAAAGTGACTATCTCAACTGTTCCTCTCGATCCATCCATGACCACAATGCGAAAAGGAAGGATATAAATTTTGTCAAAATCCTGAAGGGTACTTGTTATAGGGTCACTTCCATCCAACCCAATATACCTATAAACTTATCTCCAAGTCTTTATGGGATGGAAACCAGTCTAGAATTAGGCCTATTTAATCTAATGACTAGCCAATCTTATCCAAAATCATTAAGTCATTACCTAGTGGCACTTGAAACATGCACATCTTCATGTCTATGTTTAATTTATAGATTTCCCTTGCTCGATTACTCACTACCATCATCATCATATGATTTAGAATCTACTTATATCTAATGTAATTTATTTTAATTTAGAATTGTTATATAAGTTCAAATAGATGAGTTATACTATTATCTTACTTTTTTCGATGAATATATTCTTATTTTCACTCGTCCAATAATTCTAAGAAAATGTAAAACTAAAGAGCTTACCCATGTAAACAGATTATCTCTATTAGGATGAGTCTATAACGCACGTCACACACTACAACACACCACTAAAGCGACACACCGAAACACACCACTAGAAAATTTATACTTATTATGTAAATATTAAAATGTATAATGGTTTATTTAAAATGATCAAATATTAAATTTTAATTTTAATAGAATTATAATTAAATTATGAATTTTTATTAAAAATAATTATTAATTGAAAAAGTTTAATTTGTTTAGAATTAAAATATCTAACTTGTTTAAATGTAGGGTTATTACCAACTAAACATCAACCGCCATAACCACTTGACACGTCCAATTGTATCAAGTAATAACAAGATATCGTAAAAAAATTCAATGAAAAATAATGTTATGTCATTTGTTGGACGTCCAATTTGCCTCAATATTGCTACTTGAAGGAATACATCTGACATTTGTTATATTACTAGAGAGAATATGTTGGAAGTCTGTGATGTTCGAAGTGCATTTCTAGAAAAATAGTTATATGACATGATAATATAATTTAATTTGAATTTATTTATGTATTTAATTTATTTATTATTAATAAAAGTGTCATATATTTTTTATAATGTAACAGTTTATCGATATTTATTTATACGTGTTGATAAATCGGGCAAAGTAAACGAAAGAACACAAGAATTTTAACGAGGTTTGGCAATGTGTTTACGTCCTCGGTGCCTAGGCGGCGCTAGAAAATTTTTATTCAATGATAATAGGTTTAGGTTACATCTCTATTTATAATAGAAAACCCTGGTACATAATTACAAAATTAACCCTGTATCGTACCGCGGGGGCGCAGCCCCCGCACTCCCAACACACATAATCGTAACCCCCTCTACAAGACTTTCTTTGTAAGGACTGTTGATGTTCGCTTCGCTCATTCCGCTCCATCCTCTGTCCTCTTTACCGGTATATTTATGAGTCATAACTTACAATACGATTTGCACATTAATCAAGAGTCTAATCCAAGAAAATGTATATGCCTTTGTCATTTCAGGTAAAATTTTTTTCATGGGTGAATGTAACACATAATTTGAGATTTTAAATTTAATAAACTTTAATCCTTATTTATCTCAAGCTAGAGTCATTAAATGTTTTTATATCCCAACAAAATGAGATCAGAAACGAGCATTCAAAGATGTCATTCTCTAAGAATAGAAGAGTTTATGCCAATTGATAGTATCAACGTTGAACACGTCTAATTACCATTTGTTGTTGTTAACATGTATTTTTTTAAACTTTCAATTTGACTAATTTTAATAGGGTTACCTGATTTTGCATAATAAAAATGGTAAACACTGATTTTTATTGGTTGTTAATGTTGTAGAACAACAAAAATTATTTTTTGGACTTTCTTGGAGACAATGAGTAACATAAAATAATTGCAAAAGTTTTAGTATGTATTTATCAATTCATTGAATTTAGAAGAATTTTCGTCAAATTTAATAAATCATTTTCTCATATGTGTTGCTACTTGAGATATCAATTGATTAAAGCTCCTCATATTTACCGGACTCATCCTCATTTGAGTTGATTATTTGAAGATGTCGCACAATTTCAATTATTATTTTGAATTAACGAAGCAACTAAATATGTGTGTTACTTGAAGTTTAAATTACGAATTTATTACTTAAACCATAACTATATATTTTGAGTAATATAATTATTTTATATTGGCTTCAGGGACGATTGTGACATATACATATTGAAGTATATAGAAGTCAATCAAAATTTTGATTGTTCCAAAAAAATTCACGATACAGTTAAATTAGAATTTCATATAGTTCAATTTATGTGCATAATAATATTGAGTAGTTTAATTTTTTTGTGCAAATAGAGAAATCGACTGAAATATTTGGCAAAACTAATTATTATCAAACACAATGAACTGATCTTTTCAATCGTTGTGTATGCGGAGATGAAACCATTTAACTTATTGTGGTTAAAAGTGAATAGTCCAAGATACCCTATTCTTGCACAAATGACTTGAGATGTTTTCTCGATTCCTATCTTGATAGTTGTTTTGGAAAGTGTATCCAACACAGGTGGACGTGTTTTAGAAGTTCATTAACTTCGAAAATGGTTGAAGATTTGATTTTCAGTCAAGATTGGTGTCCGCGATTTGTGAGTACTAAATATGGACGCGAAATATGTGCAAGTATACAAATCGAACAAGTAATACAATGATGAGTGAATATCGTTTCCACAAGGATTGGAGGAAATTTATAAGTTCAATCAAAGCAAATAACTACTTTATCTA